ATATATATATATATATATATATATATATATATATATATATATATACAAATACATATAAGAATATGTAGGGGAATACTTATTTAGTTGGACACAACAGTACACCTTTTAACATATGTTTACCCAACCATTCATGGGAACTGACCTCAATTAAAGTAATAGTGAGTTCTTGGCAACGTTGCGATTCCCCTCACTCAAATAAAGACAAATTTGATCGATTAAAATCACAGTTTTGTAAAGTTTATTTTCAGTTTGAATAGTGACAATATGGCAAATATTGAATATGAATGAATAACCAGATAGTGTTATTTATTAAGGTAAATAATATAAGACAGCTTAAAACTTTGAAAAAATATGTTATTCAATTTGGACTAACGTTAAAATTTAGGTAAACTTTATCTCAGATTTGTACAGTAAACTAAAAGTCTAAGAAAAAAATCATTGGCACTGAGACATTCATTTCCATCTGATTTCATGTCTGCCTTCAACACAATGATCCCCCAAACCCTGATGGATAAACTACTCACACTAGGACTAAGCCCCTCCATTTACAACTGGATTCTACTCCTTAACAAACAGACCACAGTCTGTGAGGATCCACAACTTCTCCTCCTCCACCATAACCCTCAGCACTGACTCCCCTCAGGGATGTGTGTTGAGCCCCCTCCTGTTCACTCTGCTCACATATGACTGTGCACCTACCCATCCAGGCTGTCATATTGTAAAATTTGCAGACTGTAGGGTTCTAAGGGCTACGTTTAGCTGCCCTTGACTACAATATATTTAAATAACGGGTTCTCTCTTTTTCAATTTAAATTATTGCCATGCGACCGAGGTAATTGTGCGTAAATTGTATAATCAGTGACACTGAGACGTTAATTTTCTTTGACCCATCAGAATAAATGTGGTCATTTATTTAACAGAATCAAAATTTAACATCAAAATGTACAAGTGATTAGCTGATCTGGTTCTGATTAATAAAACTTGGCACGTTTTACTTAATAAAAACAACAGACATTTCTGAAGGCATCTAGATTAATTACTGGCAAAATAGAAGAGTTTAAAGATGGGAAATGAAGGAGTTTAAATGGAGAGAAAAAATGGATAAAAAGGAAAGTGTGTTGACGAGGAATGGCACCCTTCATCCGACCCCAGCTCAGCCCCGGTACACTCGGTGCATGGCGACTCGTTACCTTAGACGGGGATACCTCCACTCAGGTTCAGCGTCTCCGGCAAGGATGGCTGAGAATCGTCCGTAGTAGTGACGGTACTCCATTCAACAAACACGCTCATCTCCCAGGTGGATACACAGCAAGCTGTGAGTTCAGTCAGAGATTCCACTCAGACGTGGAGGACTCCAAGAAAGACCCAGGAAGACTCCGGTCAAGGACTCCAGAAGACTGAAGACCGACTCAAGACTGAGAGACCCAGTTGACCTGAGAAGTTCCAGGAAGTGTGGACTCTTAAAGAGTTCTCACTTCCGGTCACCTCAGGACTTCCTGATTGGTTGAAGCAACCAACAGGGGTGGTTCTAGTGATGTCAGAGGGTCATTACAAGTCAAGAAAACAGCAGGAATGTTTTAGAAACGTCCCGTACAGACAGAAGACATGTTATGGCGAAGTGGGAGGAAGAGAGGCCAGTAGCTTCTTGTTTACCGTCTGCTAGGTTTAAAAACACGACACTTCGTTCTAATAACTTCTTTCTGACTTTCGACTGACATCACTACTTCTCATTTAGACAGAAGATCAAAAATGCATAATTACTTTGTAAAATAGACATTTAACTTGATTTCTAATTTAAATGAGGTGTAAAAAGTCATTAGTACTGTTTCACAGTTGATTTAAAATGAGTGAAATGTTGAAGTGAATTCACTTCAACATTTAGAAATGGTATGAACTAAACACACTTTTGATTTATTAAGATTTGTAAAATAGTAATGATGATATGAAAGAAGAGTGTTCTTTCAATTGATTACTTCAGGATACAATTAGACAGTCGCTGGATGAGCTAATTTGTATTTCTGGATTCAAATCAATGAAATAACAGTTCCTGTCCCATGAAGGTCTTCAGAGGCAGGTTTTGGTTGGAGGCCGAGTTCACTACAAGACGATACAGATATGATGGGATGCACCACAAATTATGATGAGTTCAGCTACAGGCAAGAGGTGGAACACCTGGAGAGCTGGTGCAGGAAGAACAACCTTCACATCAACGTGAAGAAGATGAAGGAGATGGTCGTGGACTTCGGATGGAACAAACACACCTACCCCCAGTGGTCTCCAGCTACAAGTACTTGGGTGTACACATGAATGTCAACCTCAGCTGGAGCAACACAACCACCAGCCTGATCAAGAAAGCTCATTAGAGACTCTACTTTTTTGAGACTCACTGTTTTGTGTAGGATGCAGGCTCTAGAGCAATGTGGATATCCTAACTGGGCCTTCCTGAAAGCAGAGAAGAAACCCAAACAGGACTCCAGTCAGCCAACAGGTGAAAAGGAGGAACCCAGACCCAGACCAGTGGTCATTCCGTATGTTGAGGGAGTATCAGAGAAACTGAGACGTTTATTTTCTAAACATAACGTCCCAGTGGCTTTTAAACCCCAAAATACATTAAAGACTGGTTCATCCCAAAGATCCAGTCCCTCGGCACAAACAGAGTAATGTTGTGTATGCTGTTCAGTGTCAGGAGGGCTGTGATCAGTCTTACATAGGGGAAACTAAACAGCCACTGGCCAAAAGGATGGCCCAGCACAGAAGATCAACATCATCAGGCCAGGAGTCTGCGGTCTACACTCATCTCCAGGTCAGAGGTCACTCTTTCAAGGATGAAGATGTTCACATCCTGGACAGAGAGGAACGATGGTTTGAGAGAGGAGTAAAGGAGGCCATCTTTGTGAAAAGAAATCGTCCATCATTAAACAGGGGTGGAGGCCTCCGGGTTCAACTGTCCCCCTCTTACAATGCTGTGATTGCTAGTATCACTCAGCCCTCTGTGAATAGTATACAGCCATCAGTGTGCTAATGATCCATTGTTAGGCTGATGGTCCTTCTTGAGCATGTGATCAGCTGGTTTTGGTTGTCAGCAGCAAACTGGTTGATCCACTCTGAGAAGGTGCTATTTAGGAGACTGAGCTGAAAACAGCACCTCAGACTGAGGAAGTCTCTTGGATGAGAGACGAAACGTTTCTATATTTGTTTGCTTTGTTTTGTTTTTTTTTTGGGTTTTTTTTGAATGTCCAGAGGACCAGATTGAACTTTTTTTGATTTTTCTACCTGGATTATTGAGCATGCATCA